TCAAGATTATTTTTTTTAAAACAAAAGTGCCCACTATGTGGCCAAACTAACCATAAGAATCAAAAATACAAACCAAAAACAACACACTCGAAAGCAGATGTGCAAAATTGCAAGATAGCTATAAATCACACCATAAGCAAAGTAAATTGTAACAATTACTTCTAAGGGTGGGTTCTACCTTGTGTGTTTGTAACATTGTACTTCAAATATCAAACTCAGACAAATAAATATAAGTTTTTGCATTTAGCTTTTACTCAATATCAAGAAGCACAAGCATCAGCTAAGTCAGGTACCCTAATCAGATTATATTAGCTTCTAAGTTACAAAATAATTAAATAAAATAACCATGTCACCATTTTCTTCGCTTCTAGCATTTTCAATTGGATGATTAGATTTTAAGCTACTCCAGAGTAAGTCCACCTCATTGCATGAGATATTCAAACTTAACCTCCAAGACAAAAGATAGATCATAGAAGCTTGAATTTAATTGGAAGCTTAAGCTCGGAAAGATTCTACATTCACAGCAGCACATATAAAAAAGTATAAACAAAAGAAGATGCTATAGAATTATTCATTTTGCGGCGAAATTATTTTCATCCTCTTGAAGAAAAAGGGAAAAATACAATCTTTTTCTTTCATGCATTTAGCCTATAAACAAACATAACTTTTATTAACCCAAATCACTGGCAATTACCAAATGCCGATTCAATTAACTCCAAAACAAAAATAATACCTTTTTTTTTTCGAGAAACACGTTAAAATGGCAATGAAATTGCCCATAATTATAAAAATCATGCTATTCTGAATCAAATATATCTCCACCAATCACTCTTACATTAATAAATACAGAGAATTAGCAGAGATCAGATCACGCATGAAGAAGAACAATAAAAGTATTTGTTTTTACCTTAATTTAGAATAATAAGGGTGTAGGTATAGGGTTAGAGAGAGGGATCAGCCACGGGGCTCTTCTTTCTTGGTGAAATGAATGTTACCAGGTGAAATGAATGCTTATAATTTCATTCAAATAATTACGCGATCCGCGCATATTTAGGCGGTTCACTGTTTGGCCCGTTTGCTGAAACTCTCAATCTTTAAAATTTAGGCTATGTTTGGTATCAATTCTCATTTTCAACAGTAAATCAATTCTCATTTTCAACCACACATTTTTCAATAAAATAATATTTTCTATCACATCAATAATCTTATCTTCTTTTTCAACCACACATTTCCCATCATATCACTATTCAAAATCAATTC